CACGACCGGCCCAGCAGGTTGGGGCTGGGGCCAGGACGCCCGGGGGACCCTGCGTGCCGCTGGGGAGGCGGCACCGTGGCCAGCAAATGCTTCCAAAGGGAAACACCGAATATCGCCAGCCCCAACATTTTATTTCTGCCTTTTCTAAAAGAGATGTTTGGTGTAAAAAAAAATATGGGTTTTTTTCCAGACAAATGCTTTGTTTCTGGCTTCTGACCAGCCTGCCCGAGCAGCACAGGATGGCCCAGGAGCAAAGGGGCTGCTCCAATTTCATGCCAGATCAAAAGCTTCGTTCAACCCCAAATGCGAATTCCTTCAATCCCAACTGCTCGGGTCCATCAGCGCCGCACGCTTGCCTTCCCACACCCAAGGAGCTGCTGCCCGCTGCCGACCCAGCGCCCTCCAAGACGTACCTGGAAGAGGCTCAGGCTCCTTCCCCGCTCACCGGGGGCTGCAGGGTGGGAAGCGCCCAGCGCGGGGCATGGCCAAGGGTGCGATGGCACACGGGCGTTCGGGGTCCCCTCGTCTGGGGAGGGCTGCGCAGCGTGGCAAGGCGTCCTGGGGCTGTGGGGAAGGAACAGAGCCAGGAGGGGGCCAGGCCAGCGCGTGCCGAGTGCCAGGGCAGCACCTCTGCCCAGCCCTGCATACCTCTGCTCGCCACCTCGTCTGAAAATGGGAGATCCTCCTCCCCAGCAAGCCCACGGCAGCCAGCCGGGGCGGGGAGCGATGGCAGCGCTCCCGCCCAGCCCCTCGCTTTAAAACCGGGAGAGGGGAACTGCTGCTTTCCCCTCCTTGGCCAAAAGCTGGTGCCAGTGGTGGAGCCCATAGCCCCTGCAAGCCCCCAGGGCCAGTGCCCCCTCGCCAGCTTGCCAAATCACCCATGCACCCAGGGGGTGCTGCTGCCCAGCACCCACCTACCCAGCACCCACCTGCCTGGTTCAGCCCAGCGCCAGCTCGCAGAGCGGGAAGGGGAGCGCGAGCTCCGTGCCGAGCCCGGTGCCGTGGGAGCCCCGCAGCCCCAGCTGCGCTGGCTGGCAGCCAGGCAGAGCAGGGGCAATGCTCCGGGTGTGCTCGGCTCTGCCTGCAGCGCCGGTTTGCCTCCCGTGAAGCCCAGCACCCTCACCAGCCCCCAGCGTGCCAGCCTGCTGCGTCACCACCGGGTCCTGCCCCGCGTGGGTGCAGGGTGTTGGGCCCAAAAGCACCCAGTCCCTGCCTGGGGTGCAAGCACAGCAGATTGGGGATGTCAGCCCCGGCTATAACACAGCTCCCACCTGCACCCCATTAGCACCTCATTAGCACCACCCCACAACCTGCAGGTCCCCAAGAGCCCTGGGAGCACCCTGTGCCTTGGCCCCGGCTGGAGGTACCTGCCCAGCTGCTAAAGGGCTGGAGGGAAGCACCCGGATCCAGACACCCTTTGGAGCAGGGAAGTGCTTTCCTGGCCGGGTGCTCTGCAGCCCTCCTGTGTGGCCAGGTTTTGTCCACAGGGGAGGGGAAGGGGAGGGGAAGAGTAGTTTGTTCTGTTCCCAGTAACTGGGTGAGTCTGGCAAACAGCTCCGGCAGAGGTTCTTGTCTGCGCACATGCATGCACATGCTCGGGTTGAACAATAAAGGCGGGTCAAATCCTGCAGTGAGAGCAACGGGGCCGGATTCCTCTGCGAGCAATGCCAGCGGCTCCTGCCAGGCGATGCTCCGTCCCCCGCACGGGCGGCTACGGGTGCTGCAAACCTGGTAGCAAACACCGGGCAAGACCAGGGCGGTGGGGGCCAGACACGGGGCTCACACCATCCCCCAGCTACGGGGCAGCCAGCAACCGTTGCTAAGAATCACAAATTACACAATCATAGCCCACTTCTTAAATGATTTTTGCCTTAGTAAGAGTTTTGCAACAGCACATTGGTATTTTCAACCTACAGCAACCTGCAGCCACCGCCCTGCCGGCGCTGGGGCGTCCCGGACGGGACCTTTCCCAAAGAGCGGCACAGACTGGGTGGTGGAGCACGGCAGTAGGGGCCCCCACGGCGGGGGCCCCGCCCGCACTCGACCCTCCACA